ATTTACTAGATGGCCAAATTTCTTGGCTACCAAATTGGTCCCCTTGTCCAGCTCCTTATAGAACTTTTGATGAATTGGGTTCCATATGGCAAAAAAACTTGTTTGTTAACTGTAATAGTTTGTAGGTTTAGGGATATACTCCTGCAATGCTCCTTTGTTTTGGTTAGTCAAATCAGCTCTCTGGCTTGTTCTTAGTCTGATCGCACACTCTCCATGCACTCTCGGTTAAAGGCTCCCCACTGAGTGGCTCTTCATCACTAGGTGTTCTTTTGTGTATTTGTGATCTAACACAACCCGTTGGCCTTCTGGCCTATACAATTGATGTTTCCCCAAAGGGGAACTCTCTTGCTCACTTTGAGAGGGACTTTTCCACTTTGAGCCTGGCCTCTTCTTGGTGTTCCAATCCTCCTCAAGCTTGGGAGATTCCTTCCCCTCCATAATGCTTTGCAACTTGGGGTCAACCTTGGAACTCGAGGGCCGCAACTTCTCCACCTTTGCCATTGCGATTGTCTATTGCAACTTGACCTCTTGCTCCTCGGCAAGGGTTGTCTTTCCTTGCTACAGACGGTAGCTCCGAAGATTGATATCATCTTGAACAGATTTCCTTTTCTACTTTAGGGCATCTCCCTTGTCTTTGGTCTTCTTCAAGGTCATCTTGTGCTGCCTTGCGGCTTTCTCCACTTTCCATCACTCCTCGGCATTTTCGCGCTCCGGCTGAGCAATATATTCAGCTGCGCGCTTATCCCTCCTGGTTTGTGCTTTCACCACTGCCACCGCCACCATTTGCTACAACACATCGACCATGGTAGATAATTGCGACAATGCCACAATGTCTCCCTTGGGGCCTCCACTCTCCTATTTGATTACTCTCAGGCCCTACGCCAATCCCTCCAGCTACTCGCCCACCTGAGCTATTTGTGCCACTTGCCATGGCATATCCATTTGGGTTGTGGGACCTCTTCCATCGGTTGGTCCACCTATTGGCCCTCCTGGCCTGTAATAGGGCACTGTTGGAAACAACGTTTTTTGTGCCTACTGTTAGTGCCTACTATTGGAAACAATTTCCAACTCGCCCTCCTGAGCTATCTCCATCTACCTATCCCAAGTTGTTTTTGACTTTTCCTCATCGACTTCCATACTGGCGGGGAGTGCGAGGTGCGTTGTTCAGCCGTTGCTCCTATTTGCATGGTGAGCCACTCATACGTGGCTCCAAAACTAGATGATAGGAATTGTTGGCTTAGAGCGCCTCTGCTTTTAAATCTCCAGATCTGCCTCGCCGGGAACCTAGTGGTATACAGGCCACCAAGCGGTCTCACCCCTAATAACTACCTACACAATATATTCTGTTAGGGGAGTTATCATGAAAGAGCTGGGTAAGGCGTCCCCTGCACAGGTTCCCTCATTAAGCCCTAGGCAGAGCGCCCCCCACTCTAGGCCTGATAGGCCTTACACACAGTGTGTGTCACAATATCAATTTGTGTGAACCTTGCACATAAAAGGTGGGAGGAATGGTCGAGTGCAAAACAAAGGTATTAAAGTGGCATTGAAATTAAACAAATTCCGCAGAAGTGCACATCACAATCCTATGAAATTGAAATGGAACGCCTGGGGGGTGGTCGCCACCACCAGCGTCATGAGTATTTGCACCATCAAACCACTGCCAGCCGTGTAGCTCCGTGATCTTCAGTGCCAACAAACGGAGAGGATATGGATCTTTGAACTCCATTACGCTTTCCCGCTGCAGCTATCAATTTCAACCACACGGCTTTGAAACTTGCAACAGGTATGTCATGGAGACTTTCCCTATAGCTGATAGACCAGGGCTAAAAGTTCAGGTAGGGGCTGATAGCATAAATATTTGTGCGAAAGGACGGCAGGGCTCAATAGCTTAAGAAGGCACAGGATGGATGACATTTCGATAATTGAGCGTAATTCTTAATCGCGACACCATGGAAACCATGGCTGCATGATTGGCTGATTCACATTCAACTATCTTCATCGTCTCTCTCAGCCACTGGACAAGGTGATTGAAAATTATGCTATCATTGAGGCAAATGCGTGTATCATGGCCACAAAAAATGCTGCCACTCTGCGGGAAGGAGGAAGTGGCAATACTCCATGTACTAGCCACCGATTTGGGCCTGGAGGCAACTGAAATGGTCATCATGGGGCTGACTTCCTACACGATAATACTTGCAAGTCATTTCTTGACACCCAGGCTCACCCCTACTTTCCTGGAAAGTAACCGCAAGCGACAAAAGAAGCGCTGTCTTGGAGGATCCCTGAAAACGTTGACATACAAGCTGCCAAAGACGTGGCCGGAGGCGTTGCCAAAGGCAAGAGTGGAGGGTCGTCAAGAACAGAAATCCGAAACTTCAAAGGGAAGTTCTATGTTAGGGAGCTACAGCGTCAATGTCTGACGCCTGGAGGATATGCAATCGCGTTTTTATGGTGCATTTTGGGTGCAAGCACATACTTGCAGCCAAGCCAATGGTGTGCCATCCTTACCTCCATGTCTTGGGCCTTCAGGCGACAGTAGGCCACGCACACCGTTTCTCTCACGAAGTAGCTAAGCCAATTTTCCCTTCGAGTTGGAAGTCAGGTTCTGCTTTTTCATGGAAGACACAGGCCGCAAATAACCTGTCCTCCATGCGACACCCTGGTACCAGATCGCTGCTCTTGGACCCCAAGAACCGTAGCACATGGGGCACATTCACTGCACTGACGTAGTTTTGCGTCACAGCAATTGACTCTCCGAGGTTGATGGCCATGTGCCACCAGCCTCCGGGTACAAAGACCAACTCCCCAGCGTGTGCCTGCAAGAGGTGCAGCTCGAAGGAAAACGGCGAAGTGTAGTGGACGCAAAGGCGGGCTTCAATCCGGCTGCCAAGCGAGTCGGCACAATGTGATGCATCAAAAAGTGGATGTAAACGACAGCGCTGCAGCTCTCGAGGCGTGCTAGCAGAAGGCAAGCTACTCGCGTCGCTGCCAAGAAGGTTCCATTCACGCAGTCAGTGAAAATATCGTCCCTAATGTCCACTGATAGTCATCTACAATGATTGTCAGTCGGTAGGTATGTCCGACAATCGATTGTCCGACACACGTGCACACCGGTTCGATTTGGTGACCGTCGAGATAGCAATTCTGAAACATTTTGCCGTACTTGCGGTATTCGCCTCAAAGGAGCAAAGAAAAAGACACGAATTCGCAGATATTGCTTGTCGTTCAATCCATATTTTCCAGACCTGGAGGAAATGTAAGAGAATGCTGCTTGGTTGCTGCGCGCCCAAGCTAGCATTCAACACCGGTTCCCGCCCTCAGGAATTGCACCGACGCCACTGACACGCCAGGCCTTCTCAGTTAGTACATCCTTTGTGCCCAACTTTCGGACGCCCTGGGGTCGCCGCAGAGCCAGAACTGTGCTCAGTCGGGATGGGTTCATCACGAGCCCCGCTCGCCAGATGGCGCCATTTACGCACCCACCTCAATTTGCTTGCATCCATTTGTTCAGGGCGTTTCAGGCCATGAAGATGAGCTGCAGAAGAGGCGGGGCATCTGGAACGCAGGCCCGGCACGGAGTCCAAGAGTCAAGAAACGATGATCAGCTAATGCCCCACAATGAGCGCATGACGCCCTCCGCGTCAGACGCTCCGCAGCCGCGCCATTTAAGCGGCACCCGCGCCCCAATTGGCCTGCCACAGGACAGACAGTATCCCAGAGTGCGGCTGTTCCTGTGGGCGGTGCGGGAGTCCAAGCGCGGGCGGCGGCTCGCGCGACTGCGCGGCCATGTTCGGGCGCGGCTTCAAGACCGTGCGGCTGAAGGGCGGCGTGTACCGCTGCGTGAACGGCTGGCCCGTCCGAAACGACGTGTCGGTCGGTGGGCGCAGACGGGCGAAGAAACCGCCCGACAAGGCAGGCGAGGCAGGCCCCAAGGCACCGGCGAGGGTGAGTAATTTTGGGGGGCGTTTGCGTGGCTGTGGGGGCGACGGGTGGCCTGGCTCTGGCGGTTTCGATTGGGACCAGTCAACCAGGCGCCGCCCACCCCTGCCGCCGCTCTTACCTGACTCTCCCCCGACTTGGCATGGCGACGACTCTACCTTGTAGCTGCTGTTTCAAATTTTCCGCCGCTGGCCGAGCCGCCCGCTCGCCGTTTTTGGCCTATTTGGGCCACTGTGGAACATGGGCGAAATTTGCTCCTGGCGGCACCCCAAGTAGAGGCGTTTCGAAGGGTGTCCTCCGTCCCCGCGGGCCCTCCTGCCCACCCCTGAATTTTTTCCTTGGTGAGGGGCGCGCAACCGGGCGGGAATTATCAGGCGGGGGTCGATTGGTGCTTGGGCCCGTGGTCTGGCTGGACGTGGGTCCAAAGCGTTTCGAAATTGCTGTGGAGGCCGCCGGTCCAGGTCCTGGGCGCAAGGAAACGTCTCCTCGGCGGCTCCAGGCCTCGTGAAATTTCCTGTCCGACCATCCAGCGCTCCACCGTGCATGCCGTCGGCGCGAGTTGTTTTGGTCGCAATCGAAGGACGCGTGTCGCGTACGGTGGAAAATGGGGCGCGGCCCACGGGGTCAGTAAGAGACCCGCGTCTGTGCTGGAATTTGAAGAGCTTTCCCGACGCCCCAACTGGACTTTCCCGACGTAAATGTCGGCCTACTTGGGGTTGCCTGCGAGGCAGCCTCTTGGCTGGACCGACCGAGTTGCCGTGGTCTCAGAAGTGGCGCGCGCCAGATGGAGGAATAAAAAATGATGCGCAGGCAGCAGCCCATTTAAAGCGAAATATTGCGGAGCGCTGAAGTGGCGTGGTTCATGCTTCGCTTGTGGCCAAAACAACGTGGGGTGTGTCAAAACCGCGTGCTTCCCTTCGAGCCGCTTTCAGCCCAGCAGTGCAGAGAGAAATGGCGCAAAGCCTTGTGATGGAAAGTGTGCCAATATTCCCAAATGGCCTTCTCATCTGCCGTGCCTCCGATTTCCGCCGCAGCTGCCGCCTCAGGCGGCGGACGGGGACATGGATGTCGACGACTCGGAAGCCGCCAGCCCTGAGGAGCCGCTTCCCCTTCCCTTCGCTCCATCCAGCACTGCAGACATGCGCAACTTTGAAGTCGAGGCCGGCACGTACAGGACGCCAGCTGCCCAAATGGTGCCGGTGCACTGGACGGCAGTGGCGGGGGAAATGGCGCCCGGCGCTGGCCAGACACCAGGCAGCGCCCACGACGCCCAGTGCCAGCCGGCCACTCCCATTTACCTAATTTCCAATTTCCACAGGAATTGGAATTTTACAAGGAGGCCTAAGCAGAAGCAAAAGCAGAAGGTGGGCGACGCGCGGCGTCAGTTCCCATTGTTGAATTCGGTCCTTTGGAGACCATCTAATCTTCTCCAAAGCTCTGGCGCCCGAGGGTCCTCTGCACTGAGCCCAGACTCGCGTTGCCAACGCTTGGCTGTGACTGGCACAGGAAATCGCGGGGCGCAAGCGCGGGGAAGAGGCGCCCCTGTGGCTCCTCCCGAGGCCCAACAAGAGGCTGAAGCTTGATCCTGACGCACCGAGGGGGATTGGGACGACACAGGCGCAACTGTGCGAGTATCTTTTTGCGCGTGTCGAGCTTCGTGGAGTGGAGGAAGTCGAGGGGGCTGGAACTGCGAGGGAGCCCCCAGACGTGAACCACGAAGAGCCCAATCAAGGTGAGACACGAAATGCCATTCTTATTGTCAAGAGAGCAGCCTCGCGCCTGCCTGGCACGCCAATTTTCTATTCGCCGTTCATTGCCATACACTCCACCATTCAGTGTGCGTGGCCACCTGCTTGGGCTCATCGCCGCCAAAACACGTGCACAGGGCGTTACGACATGTGTCAGTCACAAACGGACTGACAGACGCAGTGCAATGGGTTTGCTGCAGAGACTCGGGCGAGCGACGAGGGACCCTCTGAGCCTCCAGCGCAAATCCAAGGCGAGGGTCCGAAGGAAGAGATCCCCTTCACACAGGATGCCATTGAACGTGTCGGTGAGCGCTCATCACGGCTTGCCCTCGCCCGCAAGCAGCGCACACCTTGACCCGCTTCTCGAAAATAGCCAACGCATTCCTTGGATGCGAGCAAAAGACCCAGCACCGAAGCACATCGGATTGCATGTGCTTTGAAACAGCGACTGGTCCTGAATATCAAACTGCTATACACTCCTTCACCATCCGCAACCGCGGTTTTCAATGGTGCCCTCCGCACGGCGCTCGCCCACGGCACACTTGCCCATCGTTCAAATGCGCACGGACTGAAGGGCTATTCTTCCGTATTCCATGCACGCGACGTGCTTTCTGGGGGCCCAGCGGCGGTGGGGCCTAGATAGGTTCTCCTGGTAACAGTCGTCAGGCAAGTTATTGGACATCGGTACTACTGGACGCAGTTGCAGGGCCCAGTGCCATGACAGTCAGTTGTCAATGCACTCTGGAGCGAACAAGCAGAGCACACACGTGGCCAATGCTCAGCACCCGTAGAAAACACAGCCAACAGCCATTAAATCGCAGCCCCAAGTAGGATGGTCACGTGCGTGACAATGTGCGTCGCTAGAGAATACCTTTCAACGCCAGTACACAGCACCTTTTCGTGCCGGGGAGGGGCCTTCGATGCCGTGCACGCCATCAACCAGGCTGTGTGTGGACAAATTGTCACCATGACAGTATGCACGCAAGGCAGGATGGTGTGTTGCGTGAAAACTGGAGTGGGCAGACGAAATGCACTGGCATGTGCTGCAGAGACCCGGGCGAGCGACGAGGGAACCTCTGAGCCTGCAGAGCAAGCGCAATGCGAAGCAGCAAAGCAGAAAAAGAAGAAGAGGAAGAAGGACAACTGGTGGACCAAGCTTGCAGAGGGAGGTCCCGGTGAGTGCTGAGCGTTACTCGCACTCATGCACAAGCACCCCCCCAACATGACAAATTTTGAACTGGTAAAACTGGTGCGTTTTCCCGTATCGTTGGCAAACAAACAACATGATTCTTGCTGATCAGCTTTATCCTCAAGAACGGCACAAATTGCGGTGGAGACAAATTCATCCCGACGAAGCGGTACTATATAGTACTCAACCAGCACTGTTCTCTTCCGAGCGATGCGTCCCAGCGTACTGAACGACTGAATCCAAAAGGACACCACAAGACATTGCAACAATGGTTTTGGCTGCGATTCAACTTCGCTGTCCACCACGGTAGACGATTCCACAGCCCAAAGAGTGCAGCACGCCACCTTCGTTGAAATGTCATCGTGCTGTCACACCACGGATTCGAGCAGGCATGTCGCCAAATTGAAGCTGGTGAGGGTGGCCCTGTTGGCCACACACCAATCGGCGATGGCCACACACTTTTCTACAAACATCCCATAGACACCTTTGCCACGGCCTTGTGTAAACCAAGCAAGGGTGCATGATGGTGAGACACACCCCAATGTTCGCATGGTTTCCACATGAGACCCACACAAGAAGACAGTGCATGACCCCCTATGATGAAGGGGCACAGTGCGCAATGCCTGAAAGGAATGCGTCCACCAAGCCAGCAAGTATACACTGGCATCCAATCCAATCTCTGCATCCATCAGTCCGCAAACCCAGGACTAAACAGTGGAAGAACTGCTCCACAGATGCTGGCGGGGGATCCCACCAGCCCACCCAAGCCCCTTGTGCCACGTGCCTCGAGAGATCCTACAACACACAAACAACAAGCAAATAAGCGCAAAGCATGCCAGAAGCTAGACGTGCACAGGATCTTTCTGCCACCCTCACAGCCACGGTCTCAAGCAGTGCTGCTCACAAAGTGCTCGATCTTAAGACACCTGCCCATCATTTCCAGATGCACACAGCTGGAAGCAATCCAACCCACATTTCACACGCTCAAGTTTTCTCACGGCACATGGGTTCTGGGCCAAGGCCATGGCAAGCTTTTTGTTTGCCGATGGAGTTGCTGGCTCCTTGGTGGGCACTGACAACAGTTGTCCAGAATTGCACAGGGATGCCAGCAGCTACGCCGGCACGGGCGAGTGGCATGACATCTAATGACAACTGCACTATGTGGCCAACACCAACAAACACACCAAGGACAACTGTTCTCCACACACGCAACAAAACCAAGAATAAATAGCCGATCACAGCCAAGCATGACAGCAGCACATAACAATGAAACAACGACAAGCACACTGTATCAGATGCTGAACACCCAGACACATCACAGCCCAAAAGCATAGTGCATCATGATAATGCATAATCCGGATGTGAACACAGCCAACAGTGCTTGTGACACAATGTTCTGTTGGCCCTCTTCACAGGGCTTCAGCGCTCCACACGGTGCACCCTCGGGGATTGCGAGGATGACCTCCTCAAAAACCTGAAGAAGGAGGAGCTGCATTGGTTCAAGCCTGGAGGTCACCTGATGCTCCAACTCGCCTATGCTCGTATGGTGGCCGGGGTAAATGTGGTGAAGTACCACAAGCGCCTCATGGAGCTGGGCATGGCCAAGGAGGGCTACGGCACTCCGGTCCTGGCCATGAGCCTCCTCGACAGGTTCATGGCTGCCAGGGCTGCCAGCGAACAGGGTCAGATCAACCCAAAGGATGTGGAGTACCTCGGGTGGGCGGCACATTGGGCTGCACTGAAGCATGCTAGCAGTGCATATGGCCTTGGCAAGTGGATGGCTGAGGACCTGGAGCAATGGGCTGGCATGAAGCAGGACAAGCTCCGTGAATTTGAGGTCATCCTCCTGTTGGGGCTTGGGGAGGAGAAGCCAAACAGCGATGGGGGTTCAGGCGAGGAAGGGGAAGGGGGGGGACGGGAATGGGGCCGTTTCCAGCCATGGAGCTTGGAGAGACCCACCAGCTACGCCTTCATCGAGCCCTTCCTTGCAGTTATGGGCATTCCACTGAACAGTGACCAGGGCAAGTTTGCGGAGAACGCCCTGATGACGTCACTGTTCTGGGATGGAATGGCGGCCTATGCCCCATCCATGATTGCTGCTTCAGCAGCTTTCATGACCCTCAAGTGGAAGACCCCGGACGCCCCCTACCCTGACAACCTCCAGAAGGTCTCCAGCTACAGCCAGGAGGATCTGGCCGATTGCCTGGCCCACATGGAGAATCTGCACCGCCGCCACTCGAGGTACAGGGAGGGGAGATGGTAGATCTTCTCTTTGGATGATGGTGGGCACTGGACGCCTTCGTGAAGCTCTGCTTCATGGGACCGGACCCACCTGGGCCCCCAGCGTCCAAGGAGGGGGAGTGCATCCACAAGTGTGCTGCAGTACAATAAAGGTGTGAGTGCGCAAGTGGAGTGAGAGGAGAAGGCTGAGGATGGTGGAAGATGGTGGGCACCGGACGCTTTCGTGAAGCTCCGCTTCGTGGGACCAGACCCACCCGGGCCACCATCGTCCAAGGAGGGGGAATGCATCCACAAATGTGCTGCCGTGCACTGAGTGAGTCAGCGTGCGAGTGGAGCAAGAGGAGCAAGCTGTGGATATCGGAAGATGGTGGGCACCGGACGCTTTCGTGAAGCTCCGCTTCGTGGGACCGGACCCACCTGGGCCCCCAGCGTCCAAGGAGGGGGAGTGCATCCACAAGTGTGCTGCAGTACAATAAAGGTGTGAGTGCGCAAGTGGAGTGAGAGGAGAAGGCTGAGGATGGTGGAAGATGGTGGGCACCGGACGCTTTCGTGAAGCTCCGCTTCGTGGGACCAGACCCACCCGGGCCACCATCGTCCAAGGAGGGGGAATGCATCCACAAATGTGCTGCCGTGCACTGAGTGAGTCAGCGTGCGAGTGGAGCAAGAGGAGCAAGCTGTGGATATCGGAAGATGGTGGGCACCGGACGCTTTCGTGAAGCTCCGCTTCGTGGGACCGGACCCACCTGGGCCCCCAGCGTCCAAGGAGGGGGAGTGCATCCACAAGTGTGCTGCAGTACACTGATAGAGTCAGTATGCGAGTGGAGCAAGAGGAGCACGCTGTGGATGGCGGAAGATGGTGGGCACCGGACACCTTCGTGAAGCTCCGCTTCGTGGGACCGGACCCACCCGGGCCCCCATCGTCCAAGGAGGGGGAGTGCATCCACAAATTTTCAGCAGTGCACTAAAGGAGTCAGTGTGCGAGAGGAGTGAGAGGAGCAAGCTGTGGATATCGGAAGATGGTGGGCATCGGACGCTTTCGTGAAGCTCCGCTTCGTGGGACCGGACCCACCCGGGCCCCCATCGTCCAAGGAGGGGGAGTGCATCCACAAATTTTCAGCAGTGCACTAAAGGAGTCAGTGTGCGAGAGGAGTGAGAGGAGCAAGCTGTGGATATCGGAAGATGGTGGGCATCGGACGCTTTCGTGAAGCTCCGCTTCGTGGGACCGGACCCACCCGGGCCCCCATCGTCCAAGGAGGGGGAGTGCATCCACAAATTTTCAGCAGTGCACTAAAGGAGTCAGTGTGCGAGAGGAGTGAGAGGAGCAAGCTGTGGATGGCGGAAGATGGTGGGCACCGGACGCTTTCGTGAAGCTCCGCTTCGTGGGACCGGACCCACCTGGGCCCCCATCATCCAGAAAGGGGAAGTGCATACACAAATGTGCTGCAGTGCACTG